CCTGGGTTGTGGGCTCGATGCCCAGTAGAAGGCGTGCAGGAGGCAGCCAATCAAAGATGTTTCTCTCATCGATGTTTCTGAATCTCTTCCCCTCTCCCTTTCTCTCTCATTAATAAATAATTAATAAATAATAAAAGTATTGCCCTAACTGGTTTGGCTCAGTGGATAGAGCATCGGCCTGCGGACTGAAGGGTGCCAGGTTTGATTCCGGTCCCCAGTAGGGGGTGTGTAGGAGGCAGCTGATCGATGTTTCTCTCTCATCGAGGTTTCTTACTCTCTATCTCTCTCCCTTCCTCTCTGTAAAAATCAATAAAATATATGTATAAAAAAATAATAAAAGTATTATGGCAAGACCCATGGAAACTAAGAACTGTTGTGGGCGGCAGAGGTCAGATGCAAGGCAGTGAGCTGTGGAGGAGGCTTACTTGGAGGTCCTGCTCTGACAGGAGAATGATGCTGGACAGATCTTCTTTCAGCTGCCTGGCCACATTCCTCCACTTCAACTCTGCCCCGCTGTCCGTTTCATCCACATCCACGGACTCCTGGGAAAGCCAAGCGGTACCTCCGTCTGACATGTGGGGGAAAAGGCCAGTCACATCAGATGAACTGAAAGTGTTGTTTCACCTCCCCACCAACACACACAGCCCTCCAGCATGTCTGCACATCCTTCCGACTGACCATCTATAATAATAAAAGCGTAATATGCTAATTAGACCGAAGTCCTTCCAGAAAACCTTCCGGATGAAGCCAGGGCTGCGAGGGCCGAGGCAGAGGCAGCCGTGGCGGCAGCAGGGGGCCCGAGCCCCTTGAATGAATTTTGTGCATTGGGCCTCTAGTTTAGAATAATTTCAATGGAGAAGGAAGCACCTTTTCTCAAGGTTATGGGAAAGCCAATCTCAAACTAATTTTTCCTCTTCTTCCATATTTAAAAAATTTTCTTTTATTGATTTCAGAGAGGAAGGGAGAGGGAGAGAGAGACAGAAACATCAATGATGAGAGAGAATCACTGATTGACTGCCTCCTGCACGCCCCCTACTGGGGATTGAGCCTGAAACCCGGGCATGAGCTCTGACCGGGAATTGAACTGGTGACCTCTTGGTCATGGGTCAACGCTCAACCACAGAGCCACACCGGCCAGGCTTCACTTTATTTCTGCATGGAAAGAAGCTACCCAGGGTCCTACCACACTCCCCTTTAGGTTAGTTTTGCATCTCTGAGTATACAGGACATTCATTCTCACGATGCTTGTGGACTGGTCTTGCCCTTCATTGGAGGAGCTGTGGCTACTGCTGTCCCTGGGGGACAAAGTTGGCTGGGAGAGCCATTGCTGATGGATAGTTCCTCAATTTAGTGGCCTGAGGACTTTCCTTAAGGCACTTCTTTAGCTCTTTGATCCTTGCTCATCAATGTTAGTTCCCTTTGCATCCCCGGTGATGACGGCGACAGTAACGTTTTATTGAGCCCTAATGTGTGACAGGTAAGATCTAACTGCTTTCTGTCAGAGGTTCTCAACTGGTAGTGATTTTGCTCCCCAGGAGACATTTGACAATGTCAGGAGGCATTTTTGATCGTCATAACTGGGGTGAGGAGGCGCAACTGGCATATAGAGGGCAAAGACCAGGGATGTTGCTAAACCTTCTACCATGCACAGGACAGCCCCACAACAAAGAATTCTCCAGCCCAAAACGTCAGCAGTCGTATTGAGAAACCCTGGTTTGACACGTACTATGTCCTGTTCTCCTTACAGCAATCCTAGGAGACAGGTGCCATAATTATCATCTCCATTAGGTGCTGAGAAGTTAGGTAATTTGGCCAAGGTCACACGGCTAGCAGATGGCAGAGCCTGGACTCAGGTGGGGCAGCCTGACTCTTCCTGTGGCACGGATCGCTCTGCCACGCTGCATTTTCGTTGCTGTTGGTCTGTGAGTTACTTGAGAATTGGGCCCATCTTCACCCCCAGGCTCAGCACCGTACCTGGCATTCCTAGGCCGTCAGACAAACAGTAACCCGGGGCCTGAGCAGGAACATGAATCATGACGGATACTGTATTGCATAGACCATTTGTACATGGCCAGCATTTCTTACCTGAGTTGTTGTACGCCCACTTCTCATTACCGGCCAATGCCACAAACTTAGTATTAGAAGGTAGACACAGGAAGTAATCGTCATCATCCACTATGGTGCCATCCTCTGCCAGGACCAAGGTGATTGGTGCCAGGGACTTATCCATGGCCAGGATGTCATAGGCTGAGAGAAAGAAAACATTTGGCAATTGACAAGTATCCATAAGGAAAACACACGTATCCTTTCACTCTCAATTTGTATGGCCCTAGGGCCTAGCAGAATTCCTGGTAGGTAATGATAGCTACAACAACAGCCACAACTTTAGTCGCACTAATGTAACACTTTCCTGGGTCTGGTACTGTTCTAAGTGCTCGGCTCATAGAGTATTTAATCTCATAACAATCCTACAAGGTAGATACTATTGTTACCCCCATTTTACAGACATCAAGCCCAAGGCTCGGAGAAGTTAAGTAACTTGTCCAAAACAGCACATTAAGTGACAGAACTGGTATTTACACCTGCAGAATCTGGCTCAATTCCTTGTAAACAAGCAGCCTTTCATTCATTTACTCAGCGGTCATCTTAAACTCTTCTGTGTCAAATGTAAAAAAAAAAAAGTTATGCTTTTTGTTCTCTGTAGGATCTTTCTTTGCAGCTTTTATAACCTATGGGAAGGTATAAAGAAGCAGAAACTTGTATCAGTAGCCTAAGATGCTAATGAGACGACAGTAAGCAGAGAAGTAGCCAAGACTGCAAATATCCTCAAGGCAATGTTGTCTCCCTCCCCTAATGGAGGAGGAGCTCCAGAGAGCACAGCACTTACAGGGTCTCTGTGCCAACTGCAACCCGGCAGTGAAAGGGCACTAAACTCTACCCGAATGCCAACCATAAATAAATACATGTAAAGACATGGGGCAAAAGCATGTCACTAAAGCATGGACAGCCCTGTGTCTCTGAAAGACTTCTGCCTGCCTTCTCCGCGGCCTGATGACCATGAGAGGAAGCCCTGAACCCTGGCACACACTGGGACTGCATGCCTGGGGACCACTGGTAGAATTCCTTTAAACAATTTACTTCTACGGACTAATTAACGCTTGTAAATTATTTGCATGTATCCTCTGGGAGCCTTGGGACGGAAATGACTCAATAGCCATTTACACGTTTCAAAGCGTTTACAATCCTGGGAAGCAGGGCTGGAAATATTATATCCACTGCCAACGAGAAAACTGAGAGATGCTGGGTTAGTGCAAGATCAAGTAGCTAGTAACAACCTGGGGCGGGCTCAGGACTTCTGTCAACTCATCACAACATGCGATGTTTGTCGGTAGCAAGCAGCTCCCTCTTTATCGCACAGGTACCTGCCAGAGCTGAGGGTGGAAACCCGCCCCACCCCGCCATGGGCTCACCTTGGAGAGCCCGAGTGATAAGAAGGCACTAGGCTGGGATTTGGTCCAAAACCTAAATGATTTTAGGCAAGGTACCTACATCGAGTCTGTTTTAATTTGCAAAATGCTTCCCGTCTACCTTTCCACCACGATGAGGGTCGCACAAGATAAGTTAAAGCGCTTGTAAACGCTTTGAAACGTGTAAATGGCTATTGAGTCATTTCCGTCCCAAGGCTCCCAGAGCTCTAAGAATCCCAAGTCGCCTCTCTCCACCCCGCCTTGCCCCG